CCCCAAAACCCCAAAACCCCAAAACCCCAAAACCCCATTTTTATATAAAATTTAAATAAAATTATCGAAGGCTAACGATGCTCAACAAGTCAATGCCTGATGCAAGGATGGAAAATTCATTTGCACACGGACCTTCGGCAGCATACAGGGATCGCTCATTTGCCCTCAATGAATCTAGAAGGAGAATGAGAAAAGTTCCTGCAGCTGGATTACTAAACGCTAAAACTCTTGCTGAGGAGAACCTTAGGGGCTTCCGGTTGAAATCCCTTCAGAAAGAAAATGATCTTCCTCTCAGGGTTAACTGTCCTCAAAGAATTGAACTCCCAATGTACTTCAATACTCCAAGGAGGAAGGAAGATATTATCTCAAAAAGTAGGCTGAAGAGCAAGGTTCAGTCAATGAAAGACTCTGCACTCGATATGAGTTATGAAGACTCTTATAATAGAATTGCTGCTAGAAAGAGACTAAAGGATTATGCCATCCTCTCATTTGCCTGCAAAAGAGCTGGTAAATCAAGAGATGAAGGAAGAGCTTACTATAGTACTGGAGTACTTTTTGATAACCTTGGGAAATTCAAAACTGCTATTACTCATTACAAGAAGTTCTTGCAAGTCTGAAAAGCAATCGGAGATGTGCATGGAGAAGCTCTTGCTTACAATTGCATTGGGGTGAACTACCAAAAATTAGCTGAAAGTAATGATAAATATTATGAAGATGCTATTGACTACCATCTCAAGCATAAGGAGATCGCTGATGTTGCAGGAAAGTTCTTAGCTCATGTAAATCTCGGTATTATTTACAATATCATGAACGACGAGGAGAAATCTTCAATAAATCATCACTTTGCATTGAGATATGCAATTCAAATGTCCAGTCTTGCAGGCCAATCTGTTGCTGTAGGAAATCTTGGAAATCTAGGAAGCATTAGCAAAGTATCATCTTATGCTAACAACGAAAAGCTCCAAATGTTCATAGAGCGTTATCTTGAATTAAGCTCAGAACTTCGCTATAGAAAGGGAGAAGGAAACGCCTTGCTAAAACTTGGTCAACTGAAGACTCAAAAAGGAGATTATGACAACTCAACCAAGCACTTCTTCAGAGCTATGAAGATAGCTGAACAAACTGGTGACAAAGAGGCTAAAACAGAGGCCAAATGCCTCTTTGGTATGGCTAGTGCCAATAGAAACTGGAACGATCACCAAAAGGAAATCCTTGATAAGGTTAATAATAGCGATTTAGCCGTTTTGAAGCAAGCCCAACAAGAAGAGGACGAAGTTGATGAAGAGGAAGTAGCTGTCGACGGAACAGAGAACGAAGTCTAATACTTTTAATAACCTCTGAGAAATTATTAAAGCTTTCATTAATAGAGGCTTGAATAGGGGTTTTGGGGTTTTGGGGTTTTGGGGTTTTGGGGTTTTGGGG